CCACAAAAAACCCAAAGAAAACAAAAAAGAAATAAGCAAACAAAAACAAACAAAAAAAAAAAACACAAAAAAACCCTCAAAAAACTGAAAAATCATAAGCGTTGACAGGCAGCAGTCCTAGCAACTGCCCAATAAAAATCACACAGATAAACATGCACTTTTCAACCTAGCAAGTTAAATTTTACTCATATGAGCAATAGAAAACTGGACCTTATGAGTGCAGAGATAGATCATCTTGCTCAGTGGTGAAGACTGCAGAGTATAATGGTGTAACCAGTGATATTTCTTGTGTTCTGTCTAGAGGTTTTGCTGTGTTTCATGAACATACACCTTAGATATGTTTGGTGATTTTACTGTATTTCACACGATGGTGTGAGGTTGATGGTCAAAAATAATACTAATTTTGATTTAAGATTGTTGCTCCACGAGTTTCTTATCATACATCTTTGCCTCACTGTGGATGAGCACATGGTGGGGACCATATCCATATCCAGTGATAAACGGAGAAGGGTCAAGAAGTAGAACAAAATCACCAGAAGAAGGTGGTGAGGGCTTAGCCTGAGAGAACAGAGGAGTGGATATGAAGAAGTGCCTGGGGAATAAAAAATGGAGAAGGAGGTTAGGAACCAAAAGGTTGGTTGTAAACCAGGTCCCTTAGAGATTACAGAATATTTCCAATGTTTAAACAGACAGAGAGGAGTGGAGAAGTGGAGAGAAATTTTGGTGATGATAGGGAAGAAAATGAAAGACTGAAGGAATGTACTGTTGGGGGTTCATGCAAATTGGATAATGCATATTCATTGCTGTGCAAAACAGCACATGAGGACATTTGCATAAAACCTCCAGCTTTTTGAATTTAGGATTTAAGCAGGTATCCCTCTGATGATAAAGAAAAGAGAATAAATGATCTGAGTTAGTGGCTCTGGGACTGGGACTTGGATAATAAGAACTAAAAAATCTCAGGCAGAGCCAGCAGTTTATCCGTTGCAGGTGCTCATACACATCTAATGTCCTGTACATGGCTTCAGAGGAAAAATATCTGACCAGACAAGGAACAAAGGAAGACACTTTTCAGGAATACTGGTTCTGCTCTAAAGTTAATTAATTACCAGTAAAAAATAGCATAGTTTGAGAGCAGTTTGGAGATGCCTTGGCAGTCTCAAGTGCATGAGGAGATTCTTGAAAAATCTGTTACTCCTTCATGCCCCTACTCTGTTACTGCAGTTACTTATTTGTGGCAGGAAGCCTTGCAGTCTTGCCAACAATGGTGCTCCTGAGCCTTTTTTTTATGAAACTCAGAATTGTTTTGTTGGTTTTTTTTTTGCTGGCATTAATGTGTGGTAAAACTTAGCCTCTTTTTCAGTACAGGGCAATTGTATTTGGAGGCTTTATAATGTGTGTATTGCAGTAGATTTATTTATGCTGCCTTATGTCACAGAAGGGATAAGATTGGAAGGGACCACAGTGGTTATCACATCCAACCCCCCTGCTCTTGACGCCTTCCCTTCAGATGCTGACAGATATTGATGTGGTCCCCTCCCAGTCATCCCATCTTCAGACTGAACAGGCCCAACTCCCTCAATCCATCTGTGCAAGGGAGATGCCTCAGTACCCTACTGACCTGTCACTAGGCACCACTGAAAAGAGCTTGTCTCTGTCATCTTTATACCCTCCCTTCTGGTATTTACCCACATGGATGGCATTCCCATGAATCTTTGTTTCTCCAGATTGGATAATTCCAGCTCTCCTGGTTTTTCCTCATATTTGAGGTGCTCCAGTCTCTTAATTATTGTAGTGCCCTTTTTCTAGACTCTTCTATGTCTCTTTTGTATTGAGAAGTTCAGAAATGGGCACAGCGCTGCAGGTGTGACCTCACCTGTGCTGAGTAGTGAGGAAGGTTCACCATAGGTCAGGTATGGGTACCACTCTTTCTCATTGCTGTCAAGGGAAGCATTCGCTCTGTGGGCAGCCAAAGCACATTGCTCACTCTTGTGCAGCAAGGTATTTACCAGAACGCCCAGGTCCTTTTCTGCAAAGCTCCTTTCCAGTAGGGTAGCCTTCAGCATGTACTGGTGCCTGGGACTGTTCTTTTGCACTTGGCCATGTTGAGCTTTGTGAGGTTCTTGTCTGCCCATTTCTCTGGCCTGTTGAGATCCCTCAGGTTGACAGCATAACCTTCTTGCATATCAGCCACTCCTCACATTTGATACTAACAGAGAACTTTGCCCCATCAACCAGATCTTTAATGGGGATGTGGAACAGGCCCCATTACTGTTGCCCAGGGTACAGAGCTGGTTATTGGCCTCCACTGAGTCTGCTGGCCACTCATCAGCAGCCTCTGGGCCCAGCCATTGGGCCATTTTTCAGTCCATCACCTGTTTCCCTTCAGCAAGCATCAAATCAGAACAGGTTCTGAATTGATGTTCACAATCAAGCTTCACCAATATTGTCAAGGCTTCCTCATTAGTATAAGGTGCAGCCCAGAAGTACAGAAATAGGTATCTTACAATGTATTAGTGATGGCCAAAGTCACAGCCCAATGTGCAGTGGGAACTGAGGCCAGAATGGTGCATGAAGGGGAATACATAAATTGTGGAGAGCCTCTGAAGTAATTTGAAAATGAGAGCAAGGATCTTCTGGCTAGCAAGAAAAGAGCTAGGGGAATCTAAAAGGTGGGACTTCCAGATTAAAGTGTGAGACAGGAAAATATTCTTTGCAGTAGCATTCTCAACAGTCAGAGGATAAGATATCCAGTAAGAGATGTCATAGAAAGACAGAAATACTGCAATTTGAGCAGAATACCAGGAAAAGAGAGACTGCCATGCTTTATGAATACAGACATTAACTAATTTTGTTTTTTGAGAAGGAGGATATTCAGAGATAAGATCTGAAAGGAGAAAATTAAGGTCTGAGATGTTTCCTGGTGCTCTTTCTAAAGGTACTGAATAAATAGTTAAGGGTATAAAAGGAGAAGCAAGACAAATGATATTTTATAAGCAGATATTTTAAATAACTGCCATTACTGTGGCATTTTTTGTATAGTGAGTCATGACACTGTCCATTTTTTTTAAATTTACATGAATTGGCAAAGGCTACACTGGGAAAAAAAAGGAATATACATATATATATATATATACACACACACACATGCGCACTAATTTTATTCATAGGTTCTACAATAATTCATTAGGTATTATGTTATTTCTTGACCTAATAATTTGTATTTTTTTTGTAACTCTGCAATTGAAATACTTCTGCTTAATGATAATTTGCTGTAATTATTCTACAAATATTTCATCTGTTAGACACAGTTCTGAAGATATGTATTTTTACATTACAACCTAAACTGTATTTTAAAATGCTCCTTCTAAAGCATTAGTGAATGAGTTAAATTCCAGCACAGGAGAGTTGTGTATCTAAAAGCAGGTTATTGAGATTGTCGGTGACCCAAATACCTTAGTCTTGGTGGCATGCATCAAGGAATCCCAGCTGGAAATACTTCATTGGCAGCAGGAAGCACTGATATTGGAGCTTCGTATTTCTTGTGAAATAAATCCAAAACTTTGGTAACCCTAAAAGCTGTGTATTGTTATTTTACTGGAAATGCATTCAAAGCCTCCTTCCTCTAATACAACTACTATCACTTTTCAGAGATCATTCAATAGCTCCATAACTAAGTATGTTCCTTTTTTTTCCTAATAAAGAAAGACATATACATGTGTATATTTTTACATGACTTGCAATTTCTCAGTGGAAAGCAGGGCTAATTGGATTTGGAAATAAACCTGTTATGGCTTCCCCACTTCTTGGAATTTGCTGAATTTTCTGCTGTTACTGCAAGAAAAGAAAACCAGCATTAGAGATCTGAAGAGAGCAAGATCTTTTTATTTTATAGAAATTTGCAACAATATTTTCCTGGTTTCTATGATTTGAAGCTTGGAGTTTTCTTTGCATTTAATGGATTCCTCATTATCATGGTGTTTCCTGTAATTTTCCTCCTGTGTACTGAATCCAAACTGATTTTTTTATTGCAATGATTTCTTTCCTATTTATTTATTTATTTATTGCTTGTGTTTATGCCAGCTTTCGCTTAGCTGACTTCCATGTCAGGTCTCATTTATCTCTAGATGTGTTGTTCTTCTCTGAAGAATCCTTTCTTTCCTTCACAGCATTTTTCCCCCTGTGCTCATCCTTGTCTCTCCTGTCGGTTGCACTTGCATTATACATTCTATTTTCTTTAACATATATTCAAAAATACATATAGTTCTATCATTTAGTTGGGCTGTAAATTCATATTCTAAAAGTATTTTTTGTTCCTTATGCAGCCTTTCCCTTATTTCTGACCAGTTTGTCAGGATAGACATTGCTACAGCCTTTGATGGGAAAGCATCTCTAGAGACTTAGGTGCAGCCATAGAAGAACTCACTAAAACCAGTTCCTTGTAGGAATTGAAAAATATGTTTTAGGCTTTTTCATTATATGTTACTTTACCCTCCCCTACTGTGCTATAATTTTTACCTTTACTAATAGATTAGATGATTTTGGTAAACATAAGATAAATGTGCCAATTTCTGCTACTGACTGAGAACAGATTTACTTCTGTGATGGTGGCTGTGAGTCAGACCCCTTTGTCAGTGCTGGCACACCATTGTTGAATTAGTTAGACACAAAGAAATTTTTGTGATCTAAGTCTTAACAGGTGGTAATAGGTGGTAGGTTTTTTCCTTTGTGAATTTGTTTACATGTGTGTGGAAGGTGATTTGGGGGTGGAGTTTTGCTAAGGATAGCCAGAAATTGTAGAAGAATTGAATTTTACTCTGCCACTTGTGATTTACAGAAATGTTCTTAGTAGCTGAAGAAGGTGGGCTTGAGAAGGTGGGTGGGGATGGGTGTGGTTTATCATATGATTTCAGATAGTGCAGGAAGGAAGGAATAAACTGAGTGACAGGCACCTGTCCTGCTTCTCCCATTTCAAACACCTCTGGTTTTGCCCATTTTAGACCAATCTTGTGAAGCTGCTTTTGATGCACCAGGCAAACCCCAATCTTCTTAACTGCAATAATGAAAAGCCTTCAGGTAGGTGAAAATCCATGTACATAGTGTATGTATTAGCTGTTGTGACACATTTTCTTTCCTTCGTGTTTTCTTAGCTACTGTTTATTTAGTGTGTAGAGTTATATACACATATACATGCGTTCGTTCTTAAACACATTGCTGAAAACTACTGGTCATGGTAACACAGGATATCATATCAAATGACAGCATGTCCTTCCACTTGTTTCATTCCCTGTTTATCTTTAGCTGTGTTTCTTACTTGAGAGTTCTTCTGGGCCTTGGTGGTAGCTGCATTTACACATTTTGGTGACTTCTCACTGAGTTCCATTCTGTCTCAACTGCTTATAGTACATGTCCTCTTGAGTTGGGATTTGTATAGCTATTGTCTGAAAACAATTTCAACACTTAGTTCTGAAGTGTAGCTGCCATTGCTTACTGCAGAAGACACCTTCTTAAACCACAGAGCAACAGGGAGCTGTAGGACTGGCTCTAAAGGTAATAGAATTGTAGACTCTGTTAGGTTGGAAAGGACTTCAGATCAAATGGTCTTAACACAAAGATCAAAGCAGAGCTAATGTCAGTAATGCTAGTTAACAGTGTGGAAAAGAAACACATGATTGTTCAACATTCTGTGCCTAGGATAAAATGAAGATGCAACTCAGTAACGTAGATAATGGAAACTTCCTGTCAGATAATGGGTGAAACTTCCCTTGCATAATAAAGCAAAATATGTTATGCTTCAAGTGCTGTACTGCCTACAAACACGGGGAACTTCATGATACTAACCTTAGCAGTGTTGTTTGTGGTTAGATAAAGATTTCATTTGTAAAAAAGGCTGTGAACTAAACTCAGATAATCTGAGTTATAATAACAACTGCATTGTTATGCAGTTAGCTAACCATATTTAGTAGGTGTTTAATACAGTTGAGTTAACTGTCTTCCTGCTAGGCAAACAGAACTGTTTTCAACACTTCTGTATGTATAAAACATATAAATCTAGCTTGTAGAAATGTAAAACATTTTAAAAGGATTTAAGTGCATGTTTTCACAGGAATAAAGTTGAAAAGGGTTGTATTGTTTTTCCTGAAGTCCTGTAAATTATTGAATACTTTGGTTTGCTACACAGCAAGAATAGTTTTGAGGTTTTGCATATGGCAATTTAAGTCTGTACTGAATTTACTTTGCCTTTGTTTTCCCAGTAATTTCAAGTATTATTTTATGGTTGATATCTGAGCAATTCCTTTTGGGTTGTCTAGCCTCATGTTTAGTCTTAATCTAATGTAGAGATTTTAATTCAAAGGAGCTTTTCTGCACCATTTTCCTGTCTGAAATCCTGTTGTTCCAATGTCTTAGATGTTGCAGCATCTGATTTTATTGAGGAAATGCTTCTGAAGGCTGAAATTGTTTGGGAGGAAAAAATGAAAGACCCTTTAGCTGCTTCTACTTTATCTCAAGAAGAGCCATATGAAGAGATCATCCATGATTTGCCCACAATTTCCAATAAACTGTAAGTAAGTGCTGGTGGTGTTATAGAGCAATTCCCTGCAGTCAGATTATCCTTTGAACCATATCTGTCAATCTGTGAATCCTAGCTGAGTGTGCTTGGAGATATTCAAAAACTACCTGGACATGGTCCTGGGTAGCTGTCTTTACATGTCCCTGCCTGAGCAGGATGAATGGACCAGGTGCCCTCTAGGAAGTCCCTTCCACCCCCAGCCATTCTGTGATTCTGTGTGATTTGATGGATCAAATAACTTTCCTTTTTGAAATCGCCTGAATAATCTTTTGCATTTGTAACTCTCATATCTTTTTGTCAGCCTTTGTTTTATAGTTATAGATTATGAATAATAAAATATTATAATTGCCAGCAGAAATTACCTGGGGTTGCCTTAGCAGAATTATTAGAGGTTAATACTGTAGAGTTGAACACCCTTTTCTTAAGGTAGATGGGTATAGTGTGAGTAAAACTATCATTGCCTATGAGAGAAGCAAGGAAAAATCCTGAAAAGATAAAAATCAGATACATGATTGCAGATGAATTTATACTGGTCAAAATTATATTTACAAATTTATATTTAGATTTGTAATGCTTAAAATTCAAGTGGAATCAAGTAGCATTTAGCAGTGAGGAGTTAAAACTCAGTATTGAAGAGTCAATTTTTTGCCTTAAATTTAAATGTTGGTACTTTTGTATTTCTTTGTCAGCCTTAAAAAAAGATTGCTATGGGTATGTGAAAAGAAATGTACAATAGGTATGAAGCATAAATGACTGTGTTATGGTAGTACAAGACATACTGACATTTCAAATTCTTCTTTCCAGATACTGTGATATAGGGAATTTTAAAAGTTACAAGTAATGTATTTATACAGTGTGCAGTTGCCATATGTTGAAAGTATATATTTGTTAGTTGCATAATCTTGCAAAACATTGACAATAATTTTTCTGTAGTAATCACTGAAGAGTATGTGAAGAAAACAATAACCTCTGATAGAGAGACAGATAAAGCATATATGCTTCTATTTCACAGTAGTTATGGCTGGCAGAATGTGTTTGGATGCATTAAAATTTGGAAGAGGTGAGCAGCTGTCATGAAATGATCAATCTGTTAAATGCATAACTCCATGGGATATATTGATATTTAGTAAAGATTTAATATTTAATGGATGGTAAACACAGGGTGTTGTTTCTGCTTCATGATTTGCATTCATTAATACATGCAGCTGGATATATGATATTAATGTTTATGAAATTACAAATTTTTCATACTTGGTAATTCCTTACAAAATAATCAGTCCTCCAGTCTGACCCACTGTTTCAATAGCATAAACCTACTCCTCAAATTTATGTGGCCTTCAACTGTCTTTTAAATGAAAAAAAATAATCTTGAGGCACCACTTGAAGCCTTTAGATTCTGAAATGTAACTAAATAATTTATTTTTAATTATTTATATGTTTTAATACTAGAAGTAGAAGGTAGATCACTCTTGTACCTATGTAATGATGCCTAGCAAAAGTTATTCATTGGGGTTTTAGAGACTTTGAGAACAGTCATCATTCTTGTGATGAGTAAGTGATCTAGGTGATGCATTTCCATGTGTTTTATATTCTAGAAGTTAGTACTGCAGTGCACATATTGTACTGAAAACTGGTTTCAGTGCTAACACCCATTAACCTCTGGAAGACATGATCTGCACGTATTTTAAGTGGTGTGAAAATATTTTTTTCTCTACTCTTTCCTTCCTGTAATACATAGATTAAGATAGCTGATTTTTGAGAGTTTTCCATATAGTGACTCTTTATATGACAGTAATGCGACCTGATGTGTAAAAACCTTCACTGGAAGTTTTGAGAAAGCAAAGCCCACTGAAGAGAAAATCATAGAAAATGGATATATGTGTGGGATTGGATGAGTTTAGTTTCTATTGCCAATGTATCCCAGTGTGGGACTGCATGTAGTCTGTGGTGCTTGCATGAGAATGCAGCCCCAGGTGAAGCCAAAGCCCTGCTCAGCTCTGTGCCCTGACTCTGGCAGTGATCCTTTGCACATACCCATAGGGGGCCATTATTAGGATACAGCAAGCTTGAAATAATGACACTTTGGCATGTTCTTGAGACTTTTACCAGTCTTAGGTTTAAACACTTCCTCAGCCAGAGCTTTGCAGTACCCATCTATCAGTTCTGCTGCCAGTGCAGTGAAGTATCAGCTGGCCAGCCAACTATTCTGACATTGGAGCATTCCTGGAAGGCAAAATTATTTATGTATTTTTCTCATGCATGTCTCAGCTATCACTACTGAATATGTAAAATTGTTGGTGAACCATACCACACAGAGTTGCATGTTACTTATAAATCCTCTAACCTTAATTTATAGTGGCTGAAAATCAGGTGCCATCTCATAGTTAGCTCTACAGTATCATGCTTATAATTGTGAAGCCTAAAACCTTTGCAGAGAGGTATTATTCCAAACGATAGTAGACATATTCTTAAGATATAGTGAATTATCCTCCAGAGTGACACCATGCTGCATTTTGGAGAGGCAGCCTAGATGCCTGGTTTCAATTTTTTTTTTTTTTCAATGGCTAATGTTGAAAACAGAGTTTCATCCTTCATGCTCTGTTAAGACTCTTTAGAGAAATGTGTACTGTGCTAGTTTGAAGATAAATATCTGTGCTCTTCTTGTGTACCAAACCAATTTTTAGTGCTGAAGAGGAGTGCACAATAATAATCCACATATAAATTTGCTCTATTATGTATTGCATCCATTCTTCATCAACTCTCTCGATGCAAAAAGGCAGTCTGAGGTGGAAAATTTTGCAATAGTTCCTAGTAATTCTATACTGTGGCCATATTGCTTTGTGGCCATTTCTCAGAAGAAAACAGTATTCAAAAGCAGACTCAAAAATGATGAACAAACAATTATAAATAGAATGTGTTCTGTCAGCAAATCTAGTTTTGCTGGTTGAAATTTAAATTACAGCATTGATTTCTGGAAGAACACTGTGAAGAGGTGAATTGAAAGTCAGGACAGGAAACAAAATTTAGTAGTCAGTATATTTGAAATATGCTGTTACCAAACAAACCTGGCTTTCTGCATTGTACCCAATTTCATCAGTGAGGTGTGGGTGGCACGGGGCAGGGTTGCAGTTATTTCTCTTTGTCACTCCTCTTGTCTTGCTCTTTTCTTGTGCTTTACACAGGCCCTCCACAAGCTGCAGCACCTTTGAGGCCCTACCTGCTCCAGCATAGTTCCTTGGTCATAATCGACCAAGTAAATTAGCTGAAGGACAGAATTTTAGTAATGTCATGAAGTTATTTGAAGGTTGACCATTGCAGCAAACCTAAGGTCTATGCTGGAAAGTTTAGCCAGTCTTAATTCTAATGGTTCCATCAAAAGAAAATTTGTTACTCCACTGGCAAAAATACAGAATACATTAGTTGACATAGCTTACAGTTCAGAACATTAAATTGGCCATATCTGTTTAAAAGTGACTTTATGCTCATGCTATGGTCACAATGATCACTGTACTTCTACTTCAGTACCTCTGCCTGTAGAGCACAGATAGTGCATTCATCTAGGTAGTGATAATTACCAAAAAATTAAGAACTTACTCACAAAGTAATGCTAACTTAATCACATTGTATATTTTCCAATGCATGTTTAAGTAAATATTAATTTTAGTAAGGATGTGTTTCAATATCAGCACAAGAATGTGAAATAAAATTGAAATAGATGTTTTCAAGACAGCAAACCAGAAAAGAGATTCAATTTTTCTTACATTTCAATTGTTTTTTTCTATTTAACCATTTATTTAGCACTCGCCTTTCAATTATTCTAGTGTTTTCAAACACCCTTCTAATGTTTAATCTCTTCTGAAGGTTTTTTTATGTAACTTTAAGAAGTTTTTACACTGAAATTTCAGAGATTATGTGCTTTACAGGTGTCAGCTGGCCTAGAAATTGTTTGAAGCATCTCAGAATTGCCTGTGGAAGATTACAGAAATTTTCTCCAACAAAAGCTATAAGTTCAAAGGGCCTATGACAATATTACTGCAGATTCTTCCTTGATATAATTCTCTTATCAAATTAGAAGTTGTCCAAGTGCTTCCAATATTGATGATAAAACTTCCAATTTTATGATTATCAGCTCTTATGTTTCATGTTATTTCTTTCTTTTTTTCTTTTTAAATGACATGGTAGAGGATGGCAACTGGTAGAAAAACATCTCACTTTATCTTAAAAAATGTCCAATAAAAATACACTATATTTCAAATTAATTCCATACATGAAGTCTTCTTTGCATAAAAATTAAAATCACTGTTCCTCCATATAACATTGAATATTTTTTTCCAGTCAGATAGGCAGGTAGAAAGTCCTACCATGTTCAAATAATATTATCCTAGATGACACTTCTTCTTGTCTACTGTGCAACATTATTTTGGCATAAGTCCTCCTTTGTGGTTAATTATTTATCAATTATCCATTAATTTTCATAAAAGAAGACAGTTCATGCTAAACTACTTGCATGTATTAACATAAAATCTTTCCTTGCTCTGTTCTATAGTCGAGCTTTCAGAGGCATTGCTTGACTTAATCTTTTAACTTGTAGAAATACTTTTCTAAAAAGCCAGTGTTTTCTGGAAACATTTTATTTTGTTTTATGTTTCATACTGTCTTCTTGAACCTGAGTTATAATGAACTGTTAGAGTAATTTTATTTTTTTTTCACAGAATCATTCACTTTTTTGTTTTAATATGAATTATAGGTCATCCTTTCCATCACATGAAGTCCTATTAATATCTCATAAATGTACATAATACAAAGGCAATTCTTGTGTACATCATTACATGAAAAGTGCCTGTTAAATTAGGTTATTTTTGTCCTCTTAAGTTCAAAATGCATCTGTCAAAACAGTAGGCACTCATTTACCCCCACAATATTCTTTGATTTACAACCTGCTTCTCTTTTGAGACACCTGAAAGGTTAATTTGGTTGTGAGGAGTTTATAGCTGAATTTTAAGATTTAAGAAGCTGAATTTTCTAATGTGTGTTGTGTAGTTACCACAAAAGGGCAAGACTAAATGGGTAAGGTTCAACTTCACAGCAAAAAAATCCTGGATCGTCACAATTTAAAAGAAATGTCACATGAATATTGAGAAATAGATAAGTGGCAGTGCTTTGGTTTTTGATACTTGAATTTTGCTTACACTTTTCTTAAAATCTTTCTTAGTCTGTAATTAAATTTGAGCAGTTTTGGACAGTAGCATAAGGCTACTCAGAAGGAAAACATATTTAATAATGTTTTGCTCAATTCTGAATCTGGGTAAAACGTGAATTAATATTTGTCATTTATGTTTGTGCCACAGTTGTTTAATTTCTTCTACAGTCTAATCACTAATATATCTTATTCTAATTGCCAACTTCTGCTCTGCATTTCAAACTGAAAAAATGAGGGCATATCTTTTGTCCATGTGACATTTGGTAAATTTGTTACACAATTATCTATGGTAAATCTAAGCAGCAAATAGAAATTTTCATTTTTACCTATCCTCTCGATATTTTACATTTAAATGTCTGAAGCAAAATATCTTGAGGCAAAAATAACCATTTACATTTCACTATAAAATGTTTAAACTAATTCATTCAATATTTGCAGACTTACAGTTTCATGAAAGGCTTTGTTTGTCTATCTTTTATTCTGTGGGAAATGACTTTGTCTTGTTTTTCAATTAATTCTGTCTTGAAGATGTTGTATACTTTATTTCTAAAATGATGGGTGTATATTTCAGATCTGTTTCCAAGAGCAGCTCTTGTCCCGAATTGCTATCAATGTTAGCTATGAGTATTCATTTGAGTTAACTGTGTAATCATGTTTTTTTTTAATAATCAGTGAATAAACTCAAGTAACTTAGAGTAAATATAAGATTTATTTTTGCTAAGTTTGGACTTTATTCCACAGTGGAATGCACTATTCCCACATTCCCATATTAAGTCCACATTTGCTTTCAAAGAAATTATGTTCACATTTTGGCAAGGAGCTGAAGTACACTGCTTGAGATTGTCTCATTTGCACTGTCAGAATCCAGACTACTATTTTTTAAGATACTTGTATTCTCAACTCATGCAGCTGATTCCTTGCTAATTCCTTGGATGTACAACTTAGAAAAATCATCCAAGATTTTGGCATTGTTGTTTTTCAGAAGTGTCATATTGTCTGAACTGCCAGTAGGGAAAACAAGTCCATGTGTATAATAAGAATAGTTTTAACTCTTATGTGGATGAAGAGTAATGCACGTTGTTCAAGTAATTTCAAGAGTTTGCTATTTGCTTTCTTGTTTGTTTGGTTATTTTTACTTTAGCACAATTTCAGGGCAGCTTCCAGTCATAAAATGTATCTTAGATATTGCCAGATTAAAAGTAAGCTAAAAAATGATGGAATTTAAGTTTAATAACTGCAATGGCAATATATGCATTGTTACATTTAAACATACTATTTTTCAAAATAGTATTGTGTAGTTTAATTGTGCTTTTTAAATTCAGTTGAAAATTGGCTATTGCTTTGCCAAGCTAGTAGTGTCAAAAGCAGACTCATGCATATTCACTTTGGCTTGCTCAATTCTGCTTCAGAGAAGACATGCATAAAGGTGAATTTTAAATCAAAGTATGTTGCTCTGTGTCTTTGGGAACAGACCAGCCTATGTGAACAGTTTATTTCTCACAAATTTGTTTTCAGTACTTGGATCAGGAGCTTGTGTTTGAGTCCTGAGCTGTGTCTCAGTTCTGTGCTTGTGCCACCCACAATTTGATTGTCTGTCATCTTCAGTAGGAGTCTAATTGCTTTATTGATTCTCTTTGTAGCAATCCCCTGGCTTTACCAATTGCCAAGCAAGACAGTTTGCTGGAGAAAGATACCATGTTCAAAGATGCAGCTAAAGGCTTGTGTAAGCAGCAATCTCAAGACAGTGCATCTGAAAATATCACTGTGAACACCACAACCAAACTTGAGCAGGTATCAGTATGCTGTGTCTTGAAATTTTCATTAGTGCTTAGATCTGGAAGTTGTAAACTTAATGAAGCTGAAGACCATAGTACTTTTTTCCCTGACCGTAGAGCACTATCATTTGCATTATGGAGCCTTGACCACTCCCTGCAGTCTGTCTGTTTCCTCTGCAAATGGAACAGCTGCTTCCTGCCAGCTACTGGTCAGGGGCTGTGGGGAGGGCTCAGAGCCCCTCAAATTCTATTCATGGGTGACAAGAGGGGAGGGACCACTGTTAGTGCTGCCCAGTGTGCTTGTCTCAAACTTTGAGTTACAAAAGAAACACAACCTGGGAGACTGAAAAAACAAAAAGAATGTCTAAGGAATATCAAGTTGCAGTAAGTGACTGTAATTCAAAGCTAGGAATTGCCAGATTTCCAGCTGCAGTGTTAGCTCCCTTTCTTGTGATAATGTATTAGATCATCAGCGCTGATTATTTGGATACACTTTACAGTTTTCTCCACAGGAGGACAATCTCATTCAGTATATAGGATGGATGCAAAAGGAGACAATTATCTATTGCTTATAAATCCAGCGTGTCCCAGGTTTGAATGTTTAGGACTTATTTTTTTTTAAGGTTGTGCTTTGCATTTGTTTTGGGTTTTGTTTTCTTTGGATTTGTTTATGATACAAAGAGTTTGGGTTTTTTTCTGTTACACGCATTTGGGAAACACATATTCCAGAAATATTTAGCCATTTAAGAAAAAGCTACTTTAGGATCAAGGGATGGGGGAGGGTTACATTTCCATTAAAAATAATTTAATGTGAATTTGAAGCATAACAAAGGAGCAAGATATTGGTTTGATTTAAGCCACGTTTGGTTCAAAGAAACTGCATCTCTGTCTTGGCAGAAGAATGCATGCGCCTCTGCTTTTTATTTGGATGTGTTTCAGAGGAATGGCTTGATCATACGAGATCAATCAGTGCATCCATATGTAAATGATATGAGTCAATCTGTGAAAGAACTTCAGCTTTGGAATCCTGTGGAGTGCTGGTTCCCTACCCAGTCAGCGGATACCACAGCATGTTTTGCACTTGGCTTACATCTTGTTTTCATGTCATGCAATTTCTGAGGTTGCTGACTGATGTGATTTGGTAGAAACTGCCTTTGCAAGGGACAAGCACTGCTGGTCCGAAAAGTGAATGCTTGAAACCCTTTAAGGAGGAATCATCCTATAATTGTAGGAAAAGAGAGGGGAGTATTTAGCTTACAGTCTTGCCAAGACTATTGCTTGCTTCTAGATGTTCAACAGAAGTGTGTACAAGAACACAAATACTTTTTTTCTGTCTGAATAATTTTGATGTAAACCTCATCAAAATTATTCAGGTTTTCATTATTGCTAAGCTAAGCTTTTGCTTTATAGTTTGGGCACTAAAACATGCGCAGAAAGTGATAAGATTAACAGATTAACTTTCAGTCTTTCAGATGAAAATGAACAAACAGAAGTTTTTATGCTGATAGTTTCATTACCAACTACGATTTTGAGTCTCTTCAGAGTCTCAGGGCAGATTTTCAAAAGCACTCCTGTTGTTTCACTGCTTACTACAGTGGAACCTCCCACAATAATTACAATTCAAAGACAAGAGAGCAGACTTAGAGGTGAAACTCTTTTAGCTCTTTTATTTGAGAAATTTCTACAGGAAACAATCTGAAATTCTATTCTAATCTAGCTAGGAGTGTGTATCCTATGTTTTTTTAGGAACAGGGAAAACTAGAAAATATCTCTAGTTGCTGAATTTGGAGAGATGCATGGATAGGAAAAGGCCTGAGAAATTATCATTTGCAGGGCATAAGTTAGAAATACTGCTATTTTAGTGAGTTTTTAAATTACTGGTTGCATTAGAAAAGAATTATTACAACTTTTCAGTTGGCAAGGGCTTAATGAGCTTTAGCTCATATGAAGGAAGTAAAGAGTCTCTAGATTTGGTCAAATTAAAATATGTAATATTTTTCCTTTTGATGTAATTGTGATCCTGCAAGTAGAGGGATTGTATTCTCTACTGCTTGCCAAGCATTATGAACTGTAGGTATGTTTGTATCATATCTGTATTTGTCTTAATAATATTTAGACCTTAGTTTCTAAAGACAAAAGTTTTCCATTTAACACTTTTTATTATTATTTTTTAATTTCACAACTTGGGAAATAAAGCTTTGTTTTAGTGCTGATAACAAAGGAAATCTTTGAACAACACCTTCCTGCTGTTTCTGCCTTTTGGGTATACTAATCTAAGGATTGTCTAATGAGTTGTCTTTTATTCTTACTAGTTGCATTCAAAGTACACTCAAAGTAATCATGTTCTGTTTAATTTTTCAGTAGGATATGTGGAGTCATTACTTGGATTTTATGTTCATATATTATTTAAATATATCAGGATGATATTTTGTATGCTTTATGTCAGAAACACCACACATTCTTAGGCAATCTGGCAGGCAGATTAGGCCTTTATTGGGGGGTCAAAAAGAAAAAATTGATCCTAGCACATTTCAGGCATGCATTTTTAATAGAAAAAGCCTGTAAGTTTTTTGGTTTAGAAAGAAATAACTATTCAAATTTATGTATCACTTCAGATTTCTTTAATTGCAAAAATGTTGAAAAATAGCCTTAAGAAAATATTATTTCCTAGATAGATTTTTATTACTTGAAGTATAGGAGATGGGGGATGAAGTGACTACTTCAATAAAGCCTTTTGGACCTTTCTTGGCTTGTATTAGCTTTTTTTTTTTTTTCTATTTAAAAGGTGTTCTTTGATCATCAGTAATGTCAAGATCTGTGCTGCCAAACAAAGAAGGCAGTATGAATAATTTTCAGAATTTTATCATATTCTCAATTTCTCTTCCTCTCATCTGGGAAGGATATTTTTTGATAACAGATTCAAGTTAATAGCTTGGAATTGAATTACATGCTTCATGCTGCAAATAAATATAAGTTAAATATTTTATTTCTCTAAATTGAGTCTTCTTTAAAAAATAAAATTGTCCTTTGGTTCTTGTTTATTTATTGTTGGCCACATGAAATGTGTGATAGAGTATCCCCTGATGCCCTTTAGATTGTTCCAGTGTGAATCATGACACAGACAAGGCTCAGCTGCATAACATAATATTACACATAAGAGCTGGGATGTATATATATTTCAGTGACACAAGTCAAGTATGTAAAAAATATATTTAACTAAATAATATATATAACTATAAAACTATATATAACTAATCTATGAGCAGATTCTGAACGTTGTTCAGTGTATGGAATTGAATATAGTAAATAGAAATCTTCATTGTAAGCACTACAAAAATCTAAAAACTAATCACTCCCAGAGGCATGGTTATGTTGGAACTTCTGCTGTATGTATGGTTTTTTTTATTTTTTGTCTCATGACATATACATCATGCAATTAAAATGACAGCCAGATAGATGCATTGAGCTAAAAAACACATCTGTATGCTCAGAAAAGTGGTTGAGAATGGGAGCTTAAGGTGCCTATAAATAAGATATTAAAAATATACATATCGTTTAGTGTTAAGGCAAATCAGTTGTGAGTTTAAGGGATTTAGAGTGTCTTATTTCTATGTGATTATTTGCTTGCTGAGCTATGGAATTTGATGCAATGAGTCAGGTAGAAAATGCTGAAACTCCAAATCCTAAACTTTGTAGAAAAATGTTGAAAAGATTTTGATTTCCTTACTTGGAGTTTTACTGAGCACTTCACATTTCTAACCTTACTTACTGAATGAGCATTTTTGGCCATGCCTAGATTATTAAATAAATGCCAGCCAGTGCCTGTTTCCTGGTCTAGGGCTGTGTGGGATGACTCCATAGACATCTGTAAGGCAAAACTTTTTTCCCTGCAAAGATGAGGCCATGTCCAAATGACCTATGGGAAATGATTATTGCCATGTGACCTGAATGTTACTGAGATTTCATCTGCATGAGTGCTAGCTGATAGGAACCAGGAATGCATAAGGAAGTGTGCTAAAAAGTTGAGAAAACATGGAGAATCCCAGGGCAGTATTTTTATCCAAGCCTTGCTTTTATTTACAAATACCTAGCAGAGGTTTAATCTTTGTAGAGATAGATTAAAAGATGTTCATTCTATGGCACAGATGTTCTGAGTTTTGATAGCACTCAAGGGAGTACAGCGAAGGCAATGCCTGTTTTGTTCCTTCATGCCAGGTGAGCGCACTATTAAGGAAGGAATGCCACAGACTTGTCTCTCTGCTCTCTCTCTACAAGACACTTAAAAATATTCTTGGAATTCTTTGGGTTTTTTTTTCCTCTATTCCAATGTACATCATCAAAGACAAATTCCAAAATGCAATTTAATTTTTTGTTTTGCCAAGTGGAATTCTTGTTTTCTAGTCAGCTGTATGTCCGACTGCCATAATTAAAAACAAAAAGGGCAAGAAATGCCATTTTCTGTGTGACAGAGGGATCTTCATTCACTTCAGTGGGGTGAGGAACAAACCTCTCCAATAGGTAGACAATGGGTGCCTTACACCTAAAAGGCACAGGTAGTGAAATCTGAATATCAGGTTTTCTGAACGTGACCTTGAACCTATGGCAACTGAGCTGCAGCTTGGAAGTTCTGTGTCAGATCTCCAGTACTGAACACAAGTATCCATTGTCTTTGGGCTCTTCCCCATGGCAGAAGCAAGCTCCATGATCCCTCCAGTATCTCCCAGTCTGCTGCTGTCTCTGATCTCCTGTCACTGACAAAAGCTGAACGTGCTGAGGTGTTCATCAAAACAGGGCAGTGCCTGCTTTTCTCTTGAGCCTTCACTTTAAGCAGAGCAATAGAAGAAAGAAGTATCATCTTAATTGTCCATTCTCAAAATAGACCCTAAGTTATTATAGTAAACTCTGAACAAACAACTTAATTCTACTGCCATTCATGTGAGAATTTTCTGTTTCTGGGTATTTTGCTGACATAAAAAATGAATCAAACTGCATTTGAAGTGTAGACCATTATTTATAAGCACACTGCTTAATGTGTCAGTGTTTATTTTGTCTTTAATCAAATTTCCTTTATCACTGATTCTATTTTCTTCTGTCTCCCATTTTAAGTGTAGGTCATTATTTATAAGCACACTGCCTAATGTAGCAGTGTTTATTTTGTCTTTGATCAAATTTCCATTATCACTGATTCTTTCTTCTTCTGTCTCCTGTCTCATTCTTTTGGATCTTTTTGGTTTCATTATGTTTTTATTTACCCTTTCAGAGTTTATATTATTCACCCTAATTGCAAAAGTGTTAAACAATTCCACTCACCAGTTTTGGCTAAAGTGGACTCTTCTGATTATCTTATGGTTTCCCTAACAACACATTTCCAATTTCTTACTAACTTGCTTCTCTTCTGCAAGAAAAATTCAAGTACAATTTCAAATCCCATATGATAAAGAGTGGTCTGAGAGCTTCGTTAAATACTGCAAGAAATACTTTACAAGTCCAGTAGCTAATTTCTTGATTTCTTCTGCTATAAACATTTAATGAAGAGAGCAGGAAAATTGCATTTGATCCAAGAATCTTTATGAGTTTAAGAACTGAAAATTGCGCTCTGGTATCTTCTAAAGAGCCCATCAGACTCATGCAGTAATACACCATAACATTGATATTAATTTTTATATTCTTCTCTTGATTAATGATGTGGATTTATTGGGAGTCACAGCTTATCAGTTTCCTAATGCATTTTTTCCCATAAATTCTAGTGGTCTTGGTTTATACTGTAGAGTTAGAATATTATGGTACAGAATGATTCACTGTGAAGTTACTTTATGTCTCTAATTTGTGTTTTCTAGATCAAGCTGATGCCTCCAGCTCCAAATGATGACCTGGCCTCTCTGAGTGAGCTAACAGACAGCAGCCTACTTTACGAGATTCAGAAGCGTTTCAACAACAATCAGATATATGTGAGTTGCTATTCACCTATCAATAGTAAGCTTTCAAAAAAGACCAAAGAAGAGAACAGGAGAATTATGATTGCTGTCATAATTACTGGACAGTAACCTGCTCCAAACTCATACTTAGTTTTAAAAGGATGAGGGCATGTATGTGTGTGTTAGCCCTGCAATTCCTCAAGATTGTGTAGGAAAAGGAGAAATAAAAAATAGGATATCACTTCAGACAGGTTTGAATAGAATTTATGTGTGTTTATTTCATGGAGGAAGTAAGTTGGTAAACATTGATCAATGCATTTGTCATGAATGGGTGTTTTAAGGTCACTCCAATCACAGTGTGGTGGGGTGGGAGTGCACCACCATGATTTATAATCTTCCTTTTCACACCACCAAAAGAGCCTTCCATTTTCAATGCTGTGTTAATTTAGTACTGGAAATGTAAAAGAAATTAGTATCTAAAGAGCTTAGAATTCTGCATGGGAGATTTAATTATTCATTTCTTCTAGCATCAGAGAAATAATTATATTGTAGTGTTAATCATCTAGATACCAAAAGAAATTTTTGTATCCCTGTCCATACCTTACCCATAACTTATTACTAACTTACTAAACAGCTGAGTGGAATGCAAATGTGAAACGAGTATATTATTTTTAAATTTATAAGTTGATTACACTATTTAGACTAAGGGAATATGGGGAACTGTTATGTTGCTGTGATGGGAACTTCAGTTTTATGTGTTATGACATTCAATGGTAAAAAAAATCCTGGGGTCTGGAGTCATGGATCAAATGCTAAAAAATACTCATTATATGAGTATTTATTTTTCTTTATCTCATTTTCAAATATACCAGATAACTTAATCTGAATTAATGAAGATCCACAGAGGAAGTCTTTTATTTTAAGATGCTGAAGATTTCACCTGAAAGGATCTTGTACTCTGGAATTCTCTTAGCTTAATAGAATTTGTAGGCAGCAATCACTAGTGTTCTGCTCAACAGCAGCCACTGTGCTTTGGTAGTGTCAGCTCCAGTGCTGAAGATGCTTGCATCTTGACTTGGTTCTTAGACTTAGAAGGAAAAGTCCCAGCCAAAGTCCTCATTACCACTAAACACTTCCTGCTTCATCTTCTTTTTTAGCTTTATAAAGATTCATTCTGCCAGAAAACCCAACAGTGAACTCAAGGTTGATGAGAGAAGGGAAAGAAATTGATGCATTTTAGAAGAAATCCAGTGCCTTTACTTTGAAAGACAATATTTTCCACCTCCCCAAATCACAATGATTCATCTTGAAAAAGACAACATGACTGGAACTGTTCACACAATGCTTTGCTGTCTGAGCTCCTCAGAGACAGAAGTCTGGCAATTTTTGCATTCTAATAACAGCAGCTATTTATGTGGAGTGAAAAGTATAACAGCAAGAGTGGCCTACAATCTTACACTTAAGTGGACAGAATTGTAGAATGGTTTGAGTTGGAAAGGACCTCAGCCATGGCCAGAGACATCTTCCAGTAGAAGATGTTGAGCTCAGGGCCCCATCCAGCCTGTCTGTGCACATTTCGAGGCATGGGGCATCCTCTGGGCAAGCTCTTCTAGTGCCTCACCATTGTCACAGTACAGATTTTTTTTCCTAGTAGCTATTCCAAATCTTTCCTTTCAGCTTAAATCCACTCCTCCTCATTCTCTCACTACAATCCCTGATAAAGAGTCCCTCCCTATCTTTCCTGTAGGCCCCTTTAGGTATTGGAAGGTTGCTATAACTTCTCCCTGGAGCCTTCTGTCTCAACTGTCTCAACTTTCTCAGCCTATCTTCACAGCAGAGGTGCTCCAGGCCTCTGATCATCTTTGTGGCCCTCATTTTGCCCTAGCAGGCCCATGTCTTTGCTGTGCTGGGACCCAGAGCTGGATGCAGTGCTGCAGGTGGGCTCTCACCAGAGCAGAGCAGAGGGGCAGAATCCACTCTCACAGTGCTTGTGGTGCAGCCCAGGCCACAGTTGGCTTTCTGGGCTGCAAGAGCACACTGCTGGCTCATGTCCAGCCTCTCATCCATCAATATCCCCAGTATGAAATAGAAAAATCTTACAAACTTGCAATTATTAGATGATTTACTCTTTCTGATATGGTCAGGGTAGCTTTTCTAGATTCATGCTCATAAGTTCCTATACGCATACACTTGCATAAAGACTTGCATGTGTATCAATTGCTCCATTTTACCCCACAAGCAACATATTTTAATGTATTGGCTCTGGATAACCAGTGAAGCATTTTTAAATTATGTCTTCTATTCCATAAAAATCACTTGAGGAGCTTTTTTACGTGGTAGGCATGCCAGGAGTTAGACTCGATGATCCTTGAGGGTCCCTTCCAACTCAGCAGCTTCTGGGATTCTGTGACTTTTTTTTTTTTTTTTAGTTTAGCAAGTGGTAAGCTACAAATTAATTTTCAAATAATCTACCAATAATATATGTAGTGCAATTTTTCTCTGCATAATTTTCAGTTATGAAGAATTCAATTTTATTACAAAAAATACTAATTAATTCTGTTCAAAATGTAAATTTAGATCTCAAATTCAAACTGTGGAGTTAAAAGCTCAGAATTCATGAATTATGTTTAGCATGTTGTTAGCTAGATTTACGAGTTCTTTTTGGAAGAAAGCCATTAACCTCCTGAAAAAATTAATTTGTTATTTAATAAAGCAATTATGCCTTCTTTTTTTCAGACCTACATTGGTGATATACTGTTACTTGTTAACCCGTTTAAAGAACTTCCTATTTATTCCACCATGGTAAGCATTCTCTTTTAAAAAGTTTGCAGATATTTTTTCACAATTCATATAGTTCATTTGACCGGTCAAACCCCTAAAATTAATTAATGTATATGCACATTTTAAAGGGGGGGCATCTCAGTTTTAATATTTTAGCAAAACCTTAAAAATTTCTTCCAAGATACAACTATTTTTTCTGTGTCTTTCTAATAAGACAGCCATTTTAATAACACTGAATGAGCAGGACCTCTTTTGGTTGTTTAAAAATAGTTCCTGATGACCTTGGTGGTTTCTGCTGCTGTCAAACTTATAGAAAAAGATGCATACTTCATACAGTGGTTGTTTGAGTTCACAGCCCTTGCCCAAAGCATGATTATGGAGATAACAACCTTGGATGGTGCACAAAGGCACAAAATGTCTGTCTGTGTTTCACACCAGGCTCCTCATTTGGGGCACTGCAGAGAGCAAAACGCTGAGCACCAGCTGAGCACTGCCCTGGGTCAGGCGCAGGGAAGGGGATTGTGCCAGGCACAGGCAGCATTTGGGCAAGGGGGATTGAGCCATGTGAAAACATCCAAGGGTTTTGATCGCTCCTTCTTATTCACCCAGACATTTTAGAGATACAGCATTGGTGAAACTTAATTTATCCTCCCCTCTTATCTTCTCATTGATGCACAGAGATCACAGAGCTCAGCCTCCATGATAGGGAATGTCCAAATATGTCTACTTAACCTACAGGGATTATAAAGGGTTAAAAATTCGGGAAGCAAATTGTAATTTATGGCTGTTTGCTGCATCATGTGGCTTGGTGTATAACAGTAGTAAATCTGAGAGAAAGAAACACAGTGATGTTCATGGTAGAAGCAGCAGATTCGAAGTAGGGAGTCTGAATTTATTTCTAGAAATGGAAATCATCCATCATCCCCAAGGTTTTAGATGATGGTATTTCTTCCTGGCACTGTGTATTTTATATTGGATACATGATCTTGTGCACCAAGAGAGAGAACTGTAAAGAGGAAGAGTTTACATATTAAAATGTTTCCTGAATGTTTGCTGCATCTTTACTTCTCTGTGATAGATCTATTTAATTAAGTTCATCATGAGACACTTTTTTGTCCTGTAATTGTTTGGGTCACCTTGGATAATAATTGCCTTCACTTCATCTTTGTAATCTCCACGCTATTGTGCATTATGCAGGTATTTCCCAGATGATCAAGAAACCATGGCTGTAAAACCACTTTGTTTTTGAAATGCTCCAGTATAGTGCAGCAGCTTAGCTGATGTTGTATTAAAGTCTCTAAGTATTAGATGGTCTGTGTATTAAAGTAATAAAAAGTGATGAGCTCAATTCCTCACTAAATGCTGACATGCTATATGATGTGCCTCATTAGTTAGCATTTTTGTTTCAGGTATGTAGTTTGTTACCTGTCAAAAAGAAAAGGAATGCAAACATGTATTGAGCATTATACTACTTTTAGAACAAGGATGAAGCAATGAAAATATTATAATTTATATCTTTTAATAACAGCCACATTTTATGTTTCCTTCTTTTTTAAAAAAATGTACATAAATTGACAGAAAATTTTGTTATTGTGCAGTGATTGCCTACACTTTATTCCAATAAAATACTACCAAAATAAAAATTTTATAAGAAATCATTCACTCTGAGATGACAGAAAGAATCACTCATTAATGGACACTGATGTACTTTGCTCCTCATGAAATTCCATGTAATTGCAAGATGACAAAATTACTGCATTTCTACATAGAAATACACTCTACAACTACACTGCACATTACAATAGCATTTTACAAGGAACATGCAAGTACAATTTTGAAGGTATCATAGTGACTTTAGAAATGCTTGAGCTGTGGTCTTGCTGCTTTGTTAAATTCGTGCAGAATTTACTTGTGCTCAATTAGGACAAATATATTCTTGAAGTTCATGTTAGAAAAATACATAAACTTGCCACATTTTGCATGGAGCATACTTGTGTGAAGGTTTTTCTTTGTACTTTGTGACATTCTGAAATGATTCCTGGAGAATTGGTGTGGATTTAATCCTTTTTGTCTGGTAGCCCTTAAGGCCTGACTGAGAAGATACCATGGAGGATTCATTCAGCTTCACTGTTGTAGATACACCAGGATTAAATAGTTTAGTATTTAATTAAATAAGACAGCATGGGACAGAAAGGGGTGACATATCAGGATATCCTCACAAAAAATAATAAAAATAAAAAAAAAGAAGTGGTTTCTATAACAGATAATTGGATTTACTCAGGCTTTAAGGGTAGTACATGTAGCCAGCTATGTGTGTCAGGAGTTATTCTATATTGCAGAGAGCCTATTCGTAGGAGACTGCTCTGCCATGTAATAAATTATTAGTTTATAAATTATTCCTTTAACTTTTCATGGGATGTTCATATTTAATTTTGTAAATTTTCAAGTCAAGGCATTGAAAAACTATAAATGTAAGGCATTAAAAAGTAGCTTACTAGGTTTTCTTTTACTTAATGCACAAACCAGCACTGTTAAGTCGTCTAGTTATGTTTCATTTTGTATCTTTAATTAGACCTTCTGTGTTTAAAGATCTATTTTCTGTAATTAAGATCTTCATAGCTGTTGTAAAAGTATCGCTTCTATACATGGAGAAGTTCTGTTCATAATGCTTAGAAAGCTTTACAGAAGATCCAAGATTAAGGGGGTGAAACATAACTGTTTTGAAATGCATTTATCATTTTAATTTTCTGCAATTTTTCAGGTCACTCAGCTTTATTTAAGTAACTCTGGAAAACTGTGTTCCTCACTTCCCCCACACATATATTCCTGTGCTGAAAGAGCTTACCACATGCTATTTCAGGAGCAGCGTCCCCAATGCTTTATCCTCAGGTGAAAATTTATCTTTCTATTAATTAATTTGTACCTCCTGCCTTTCAGCAGTTTCCCTTGGGCCTCAGCAGTTGAGATTTCCATTTTATTTTTTCTCTAACTGATGTTTTTTTTCTGTGTACTGATCTCTGTATCATACATTAGAGCAAAATAGAAATGAAAAAGGTTTAATTACATCTCAAGTTCATAAATTCTCTTGGGCGATTGCCACTCCATGTAGCTGCATCTAATTAGGAACAAGAGTTAATGGTAAAGAATTCAAAACTGCTGTGTGTTTGCTGATATGACATGAATCAGGATTAGAAACAGAATCTATTGACAATAAAATGATAAGTCCTTGACTAAATTATAAACCTCTGTGGTGAGGCGCCTGTATTGGAACATGCAATCTGCCTCTGTTTGTGTGACCGTGAGTTTGTTCTTTAGCTCTCCAAGCTCAAAATGGACTTTAAAATGGGACTTTAGCCTTTAACCCTTACTCACAGTGATTGCTAATTTTGTGAGTCAAAAAGTCATAATGAATACATAAAATGAAATGGTCTAGCTTGTTAACAATCAGGAGTGTCAATATCCAATGATACTGTTGTGACATAAATGACATATTTAAGCCAAATAATCTGGAATGGGGAGAAGTCTTTGTTTTTTACAATGGAATTCATTGAAAGCTTTGGATTTCCTCAGTTTAGCATCACTAAAAGCATTCTGTTCAGTTTATTTTTTTTTAAAGTATAATTCCATGTGTTTTAAATGCAATGGGCTCCTGCAGTACAGTTACATATTTGTATTGAAACATTGTTTAGAAATACACTATCCAATTCAGCTTAATTTTAGAAATATAATTTCCAACTAACATGAAAGATTGATCAGTTACAGATAGCATTACTGATAATACAAGACTCATTCCTTTGTATTTAACAGTTTTGCTTGCACATATTTGTTTCAAGTCTAGAAACTTCAGTCACTGCGAGCAATACTCAGTGTCTCACTTACCTACTCTGAAAATGGAGAAGAAATTAGTTGTTCTGACTCCCAAAAGTGTGCGAACTTAGTCACTCTTCCCTGGATGTACCTTACTATATTAATAGGAATTTGGAGCAGTAATGCTCCCAGTAGTACAATAAGAGATCTGTTTCAAAAGTTGATGCAGAACAGCACACCTGTTTTCCTTAAAATCTGGTGGAAATCTTATATGAACACATTCTGTCAGCAGTTTTCCATCACTTCTGATCATAGTTCAAGTACTGCAGGAGTAAGTTTTTTTGTAACGTATGGTATGCGTGTGGTATCTTTGGTCAGAATTGAAAATGAAGCACAAAAAATAAACCCCTGCCATTTATAACATCTGAAATGACAGATATATTGCTCCTTACATGTTTTGTATTTTGTCATATTTTCCCTAAATAGATGATTTATAGAATTTCTTTACAATGGGGTTGTTGTTTACCTAACAGTAATGATCCAATCATGATCCACTGTTCTGAAATCATAAAGGTATAGACAAAGATGCCTAAGATGTAGAAACTAGGGGTAAGCAAGTACTTCTCAGTACTTGCAGAAAGTAATTCTTAAAAACTGCCTGGGGTTGGCTGTTTTCTGACTCTTTTACCTGGGCTTCCTTGATTAATTGTTTCCATGTGATGGCTCTGTCTATGCCTAAGTCCCCCTCTATGCAATATATATGATAATGGATGATAATCCAAGTGCTGTAGATTTGACAGTTGTAGCTTCTTTAATTCCCCTGGGTGTATAATGGGTCATGTTCTTTGCTTCACATTACTTCACATTTTCACACTTTCAATTGGTCTTTTTCCTAACAAATATAGGTTTTAATTTTTTTTCTTAATTTCAAAACAGAGCTTATTTTTTAATTATTTGTAGTATTTGAAGAAAGAAGTTTTGAGCTGTAATTAAGGCTGTATTAACAAAATATTTATAAAGCAATAGTAGGAAACAGGCCCTCCATCAGGTAGTTACAAAGAAAAGCTAGAAAGCCAGAGGAGGAAAGGTGAGAAAACTTCATGAACTTCCTTCCTAACTAATTAAACTTCATGTTTCTTCCTGAAGTCTCACCAAAATTTCCCCTCTTTCAGTTTGTACCATTATTCCTTGTCCTGTCACTACAGTTCCTGACTAAGAGTCCCCCTTTGGCTTCCCTGCAGGGGATTTTGCTTATTTCCTCCATGCCACCACTTTTCTATTGTTTCTTTCAACATTGGTCATTCTATTGCCTTTCACCCTATTTACTCACCCTATACACTTTCCCTGTCAGAAATTCTCATTCTTTTGAATATTTATTCTACATCACAAACCAGAAATCACAGCGATCTAGATAGAATCACTAAAGTCAGAATGTACTGCAGAAAGCGGGCAGGTTGTAAAATCAATCAACTTTTTATTTTCCTTCGTGTTCCTTTTGTATTTTCTTTCCATTCTTCCTATTGTATTCTTCACTTTCAATGTCTTCTGATTCCCCATAATTACCACAACAGTAATTTCCCATCTGCAAAGAGAACCAGGCAGCATTAGTGAGCTCCTTTACTGGATGAAAGATAAAGGAGAACATAAAATTTGTGCTGTAAGTACCTTCAAAAAGACTTGAAAGCATTAGATTTGATTGGTTTGACCTGTGGTACAAGACAAGGTATCTTGATAGCTCTGACAGCCTTCATGTATATATGCAGTCAGTCAGTCTGTCTCCTATGCGGTGCTCTTTATTTGTCATCCATAAACCTTCTGTTATTTGAAATAAAGGCTTGATGGAGGTACCTTCAATCCATTCAAACAAAGCTAGCAGAGAATATAAATAGCATTTCAGTTGTGTAGCTAGCCCTGATTCCTCCCTCTCTTCCTCCTTGCCTGTCTTCTTGCAGTGGAGAAAGTGGTTCTGGGAAGACTGAAGCCTGCAAACAGATAGTGAAACACCTCACTTGCAGAGCCAGCTGCAGCAGAAATGCCTTTGATACAAAGATAAAACATGTAAGTAGCATTCCGACCACAGAGTGGAATGAAGCAAAACCTTGGCCTCTTGGATAGACAGAGATATTTGAGATGTATGTAAAAAGGTGTCATAAATTCATAAATGGCTTGTTTTCACCTCTGAAGTCACCTCTGTAAAAATTCATAAATGGCTTGTTTTCACCTCTGAAGTCAAACGAAGTTGTTTTTTTTTCCATGAATGGGAATAGGATTGGGATTAAGCTCACATTGATCTGATAAAAAGCATTTCCAAAGTGGAGATAGTTTTGTTTCTATGTTTTGGTGACTTTGGAAATCAGTGTTGCAGTGAATAGGAAACATTTCTGTGATAAGGAACTGTTTCTTATACATGAAATTAATTGCCTTCAGTAAATAAATAAATTTGCCTGTATGGTATTTTATGGACAGTATAAGAAGTGTTGAGATATCTGAAGTAACAGTATGCAGGACAGAAACTATAAACTTGCAGGAGAACTGCAAGGATTGAATGAAGTCATATGACTCCATATCTGTGTACTAAATATATTTAAGAAATAGGTAAGAGTTCTGAATATTTTTTCAGTCATAATTAATTTCCAAAATATATACCCATATTTAATTCCTTAGAAAGGTTCACTCTGAAATTTTAAATTATGCTGAACCCTGGATTGCCAATTCAAATTTTTAAAGAAATTACCTTTCCTGATGAAACTTCTCGTCTGAGATACCAACTCAGAGACAGCTATCAATGAGTCTTAATGGAGGTGGAAGAGCATAACAAATTTTGGGTATAGAAAGACCCTTTAAATCTAGCTTAGATGGGATATCTGACTTTAGATGGTAAAGGTATCGGATCTCATCTATAGGGAATAGAGTAGAGATTCTAATGTAGTTACCTTGTAAGGTGCCCTAATGAACACAGTTGTCTGGATTCATTCCTGCTGCAGTTATGCATAGCACATTAAATTAATAAAGTTACAGAGGTTAAAGCAAGTGCTGAATTAGTCTAAAAGCAAACACATAAAAGCAAGTGCTGAATTAGTCTAAAAGCAAACACATACTAAACAGCACTACTGGAGTGGAACTGGAACCGAAACTTGGCTGGCTAGTTTTCTGCTGCCACCTACTGCACAGACATCTGGTTTAATTAATAATTGTGAATGGTTTAATTTTTAGAGCTTCTGTACCACTCCATCACCCTTTCCCTTCTCAGCTAATTCATCCACCTTCATGAAAAGAGTGATGTCAGAACAAAGGTGCACCACATTGCAATCAGCTTCAAGGATGCACAGAGGAAAGTTCTGAAGGGAATCTGTCAGGGTGAAAGCAACTAATTATACACAAAAAAAGCTAAATACAATGGCTGTGACCATGAAAGCCTAACATGCAAATGCATTAGTGAGCCATACCATAAAAAATGCCTGAATCTGCTTTCCCCTGCGTTTTTCACTAGTATAATCCTAAAATAATTCTATTTGAAATCAATAATTTATGCCATTTCTGACATTATATAAAACTTGTAAATTCCTTTGCTGGGTTATTAGTATTGACTGACTGTTGCTTCACAAGCTTTCAAAGGTTTTAATATTTTTGCGAAGTATGCCAGCTCCAGGAATATGACTCCAGTCACTAGTATCCAAAATACTTGTAGGAACACTGTAGTGAACCTCCTAGGTTCATATGTGAACCTTTCACTTAAAACTGCCACTATTCTGACATTGATTTTTTGGAATATATTTATTTTGACCTGTCTCACTTAAATTTCTGTTTTGGAAAGAAACCTGCCAAGTATTTTTTAAATTCCAAGATTAAAAATTATCTTCTTTTTTTTCCCCCAATTTATTAATCACAAGCAAACCTTACAGATGTTTCTTGAAATATCTTCCCATTTATTTCCTCTCTTTTTGCTTCTTTAATATTATTTTGCAGGTAAATTGTATCTTGGAGGCCTTTGGACATGCTAAGACACCCTTGAATGCTTTGTCCAGCTGTTTTATAAAGTATTTTGAACTACAGTTTTGTGAGAGAAAAAAAACATTAATTGCAGGTAAGTATCACTTAATCTGTAAATTTTGATGTCACACACATAGAGTGTCAGATCAGAGATCCCAGTGTGCCATGCACAGAATTGGACAGCAAGGGGTTCAAGGTGCATGGAAGAGGCCAGGGGGGTTCGGGAGTGTCAGAGGAACAGATTTCACAGCCTGTGAATTGATCACTCGTCAGGAGCGGGCAGTGCCCTGTTCTAAGCAACCACAAGGTGGCAGGGAAAGACAAGAAACAAATTGGCAACAGCAATTCCTCATATTTCCCAGGAGGTCACGTTTTGTTTTATTTCACAGATCAACAAACTGAGAGAGCTGTGTAGTGCAACACTGTGAAATAAGAGTGAAAAATGTATTAAGTTGTTAAGTTGTGCTTTTTTACCTAGTATTGTATTGGGTATTTTAAGTATCCTTTAAATTAGTTAGTAATATAATCTGTTTAGTAGTAAAAAAAAACCAAAAAAACAAACAAAAAACCACCATCAACAACAAAAAAACCAAAAAAGCCAACAACAAGTATATTCTGTAATACTGAAATTAGAAGTAATTTATTTCAACTTAGAGCTTCTTTTAAAACAATTAGGAACCAAATTGTTGTTTATTCTTCTTAGAGGCAAGATAGTGTGAAATTTGTTCCTGCTTTCAGATTAAGTGTGAGTCTTCTGATCCATAGTAAGAATTCCTTAGTTTAAAAAAAAAAACCAAAAGAACAGAGACAAAACCAAAAACCTCAAAAAAAAAAAAAAAAAAAGAAAGAAAAACAAGGAAATTGAGCAAACTTTCAGTTTGAGTCTGAAAACCTGCTCTTTAAAAGCAGTCAGAGAGAATTTATGCCTTTCTGGTCCACATAGGTCATCATAAAGCTACTCACTGTCAAAGCAAGGTATGTCTGCAGAAACAACTACACACAGTTTCCTACTTGCACTGTTCCTGGATGCAGAAGCTGTATGGCATGTATGGCAAGAGACACTTTTGGTCCAAGTAAATTAGATTCTGTTAGATAAGCATTTCCAAATCTACTCTTATCTTTTTTTTTTTTTTTTTTTTTTTTTTTTTTTTTTTGTAATTTTAAATGTGTTTGTGCTTTCTGAAGAGTTTCCTAAAAAAATTCTTTGGAAATCTTTCCAATTACATTTTCTTGAGACAGTTCACTGTACTCTAGGAAATATGGTAGTTCCTTCATGGGAAATGTCATGCATGGGAATTTGCTAACACTTTTTTCTGGTTTGTTTTATAATGAGTGTAGGATAATTGCAAAGGAAATTCAAAACTAAAAATGTGTGATTTTGTTTTTCATTTATAAGCTCTTGTGGGAGGAATGCAAATTTAAATATACATTAGCATGGACTGAAGAGCATCTCAGTTCAGTTTGTAAAAATAAACCTCCATCTCTAAAGCTAAAATTTTATAGACCCTTTGTATTGTACCTATTTAATTTTAGTATATTGTGTCTATAGAGACATGGGTTTATGGACAGCTTTACTCAGAACTGACAGTTTAATTCACAGCCACTGCCTTGACAAGATCAGTTAAACAGGTTCTTGTGTCAGTTTTCTGATACACTGATTCTGTAGTTTTATGATTCTCAAGCCATAGGCATCAAATGAGAAAATGCAAAGGTAGTCAGGTCAATTAACAAATGTAAACAAATTACTTATCTACCCTGCCATTCCCCAATTATTTGGGAATTGAATCAGTTATTTTTGCCAACTGTAAGGTAGCTTAAAGTTACATAATTTATGGTGAAGAGAGACATGCCTTGCTATAGCAGTAGAAATATATTATATATTTCTGAAATTGGCAATTGTTCCTGCTGTTTGATTTGCACAGTAGATTTTGCCATTTCTTGGCCACTGCTAAGCATCACATCTGAGTGAAATTGTCCCAGGTTTAGACCACCATAAATGAGAAAAGAATAATGCATATTCTCTTTGGCAGGTTTAAATTCCACCCAGGCATACTCTGTATTTATTTGCAAGATCATTTGCAGCAGTATATACTGTCCTGCACTGTTTAAACATAAAAGAATAATTTAAGTATGCAGAACATCTGATTTTGCTGAGCCCTGAATTCATAACTCATTGATACTAACAGGGCTAAATATGTCTAATTTGTAAACAAAAATCCAAGTGGCACTAGGCTGCCTCCATCAAAGGGTTTAGGTGGTTTAAGCTCCTCCAGAGATAGATATTACAGGTGGAGATCTGGAACAATTTACTAAGGCAGGGACCTGCAAAGTACGTGTGCACACTTTTATTACAGAGAGCAAGCCCAAGGTGGCACTCCTTGTGTTTTGAGTGGACACCAGTGAAGTTTGTGACAACTTCTTATTCATGCTGAAGTTCTTCTAGACCCTGGAAATGCTCTGACTTTTATCACATTATTATTCTTCTGGCAGCAAGTACAATGTACCTAAATAAATGAAATGAATTAAATGTTCCCCATAATTTTCATCATTAAATTTGATTTGTTCTTTAGCATAAACTGCATTTCTGCCATGATGCTTTGAAAATAAGGATGGAGAGTTTTAGTGTGGCTCTACTCAAAGCCAGTACATATATCTAAAGAGGTTTTATATGACACAAAGTTTTATTTTAGAACAAACACTTAGAATAAACTGCAGGCCAGTGATTTCATTAAGTTTTTAAAATAAATAAAGAAATCAAAGATTGATCTTTTGGCAAAAAAAAAAAATTCCTAGTGAATTTCTAACTCCCACAACATAATTATAGAAGACTGATTTTTTTTTTTTTTCCCCTCAGAATGGTCCTTCAGGTAAGTTGATATAATTCCTAAGGTGAAAATGAATGCCTCTGTAAATTTCCTTAAATGACTCGGAAAGAAACTTAGGAAGAAAAAATAAAGTCTGAAAAATTTATTCTCTAGATATTCTGCTTTGCTTTTCAGGCATTGATTTTTTCAATCTTCACTTTTTGAAAACCAAGGACAGATTTTTATTTTTTTTTTAAGTTACATTGAAAGTGACTAAGAAATGTTTTCTTGTCTTTACAAATAGCTGTGTTTAGGACAGCATGGTTTTTTGAGATGGAGCAATGTAGTTTCTAAGAGTGCATAGCTGAAAGACAGATTTCACTGGCCACACTTTGAATACAGAATCTGCTTGCTGGCTGTGGAGCTGCTGAGTAGATCAAGTGAGCTGTTAAAGGAAGTAAAATTTGTTTGTACCTGGAGGCACAATTACCATTGCACAAAAATGACAGACTTTGCTTTGGAATTTTATGAATTTTCTCCCTTTTATTTCACACACAGATTAACAAAGAAATTTCACTTTGTAGAAAAGCATACTACCATGATAATTTTCTTTATGACTCTTAGCACCATAAAGATGATGCTGTGTTTGATTCTTGCTGATTGGAAGCTTGGCTTTTCTTAACAGCTCTTCCCACTGCTGGAGATTGCTAGTTGAGATGGAATGTATTTAGCCTTATTAAAGTGCAGGTGACTTGAAGTACTTGGAAAAGGCTGAATTAATTTGTGTCATCTGAATAAGTGATGTTGCTCATCATTAAAGTTAAATGATAGATGACCTTTGGTAACATTTTTCCTGCTTGTATTAATCAATGAATGTTAAAAACACCTGAAGTGGTAGTTATAAAAGCCTTAGTGAATAATATTGCGCACAAAAATGTGATTAAAGATTTGCAGTGAACTCTCTTCAAATTAATTGATGGTTGGATTAGTTTTACTGTGAAATAAGTTACAAGCACAATAAAAGATGGAAATCATCCTTCAGGTTCATCTATTCTGTTTTACCCTGTAGAAATGACAGCCAGGTAATGATTGATTCTGATGAAAGTGTGTGTCTGGGCCAGACCTGCCATGATTGCATTGCTTCAATTTATAATGTGTTGCAAAGTTACTGGAGCCAGAAACATACATGATTTCCCAAGTGTGCCTTTCTACTTCCCATACAGGTTTGGGTTTTTTAGTTTTTTCTGTAGTGTGGCAGCAGAGGATTAGATGGATGATGCACAGTTTCTCATTGTATTGATTCCATAATAGCAGCTCACTACTACATTTTGTAGGATGATTAAATGGGCCAGATCATGTTTCCTTGCTTCAGCAAGTCAGAGGTACAGCTCCTCTCTGTCAGTCCTGCTGTCTCTCAGCCAGACTCCCAGGCATGGTTTTGGTTGCCAGCAAATGTCAGGACAGGTCTGTGCTGTTACACAAAGAGAGTGTAGGGGATGTCCCTGGCTGATGTACCACTGACCTTCTGCACTCCTTAACTAGGATGTGTCCAGGAGGGTTTGGCCTGTGCAGAGTGGTTCTTTGAGACCCTGCATAGTTGTATTTAGTTCATTGACAGAATTTAGCTGCTGAGGCCTTTCTCAAAACAATATGTTCAGGATTCACCCATTTCATTTCTCTCCCATCTATTCTGTCTTTCAGCAGTATTCTCAAAGGCTGTGTTCCCTCATACACACTACTTCAAGTAACCTCAGGTTTGCTGTGTTTATTTCAACAGTATAAACAGAAACTTAAAGAACTTCAAAAGATCAGTGGAATTTAAAATGAAATGACCAGACAGATACAGATGATACAGCAATAACCTAGCAGTGGACATTAGCAATTGTATGGTGACAGGAACTGACATTCTGCCTGCTGGCCTAATGCCTCATTAGGCTGATGCAACTACCTCTGATACACACTGTCATTCACCAAAATGTTTCACTTTGCATTAGGCAACAGCTGTGAGTCCAGAACTGGTTCTGAAAATATTGCTTTAATCCCAGCCAGCTTAAAAAAAGTAAAAAATGAGAAAAATTATTAATTTGGAGAGCATACTTTCTGTGCTGTAGGATGCATGCACCAGTATTTACAATGACTATATGTTCAAGAACTACTTCCAATTCATGAAGAAAGGAGTCCTGAATGAGTTGGGTGAAAACCAGGCTATAGTTTAATATTCTCATCTGCTTACTGGGTTCAAAAATATAGGTCCTCTGTTGCTGAGAAGTGCACCTTATGCTCTAAACTCAAGAGCCCTTGAGTGAGCCCAGGGTGAGGATGCTTGCAAAGACTCTGGGAAAGCTCTGCCATACTCCAGATACTGAAGAGCCTAGAGCTGCAGCATGGACCATGTCCATGTGGTAGAGGTGATCAGTTATGTGTGAGGAGAAGTGCTTCTGGTCTTTGTACCACAGCTGGTGTTTAAATAATGAGAGAATTTATGCCAGCAGCTGGGTAAGTGGGAACTGGGATTAGATTCCCATTTACCAGAAAGGCCCTGACCTCTAGCTGCAGTTGGACATTCCCTTGTTCTCTTAGTCTCTTGCATCTGGAACCACATGGTGGTGTACTCCCAGGGCAGAGCTTAAGGGTAGCCTGCCCAAAACAGTGAATATCCCGGTCTCTTCATATGTATCTCTAAAATGTCTTTTATCTTGCAAAAAGTTAAATCAATCTGAGGCTCAATATTTCCTTTGCATCTGTGCTTTGCCTCTTTCAGAATCTTTGTGAGACTGAGGTTATGTATGATCCTGTAAGCTGTTTTCTGTAGGCAAATCTCACTCAGATTCATCCTCCTTCACCTTCTTCCCCAGACTTCTGATTCATGTGGCTTCTCATTTATTCAGGTCCTCATAGCCCATGTTCCCCCTGGCTCAGGTCAGTGAGCCTGTTGATAGCCTGTTCTGCGGAGGATTTGCCTCTTTGTAGCTATCTGGAAGCTAGGTGGTTAATCAAAACTATTAATCTCTCTGTTCCTGATTACCAGCAGAGAAAGAAGAAATGCTTCCAAGTGTGTTTTTTCAAGAGATCTTGAATCTCTCTCCCATCTTTCTGTTTAGGAGGAGGATAGAATAGATGCCAGTGGTCAGATAGCTCCATTTTGGTGAGATGACTAATAGCTTGTCTCTTAGAAAAATCTTGCCAAATACAGCAACTTATACAAATCAACATCAGTATCTTCAAAACTAAGTAGTTTTGATGGTAATGTCAAACAGTAAGTAAGTGTGGTACTATGTTTGTTCTACCAATTCTAATGGAATTGGGGTTTTGAATATGGTTGGTATAGAAAACCACGGACTATAGAATGGCAGTACTATATTTTATATGCTCCCCTCAGATCATTTTATAAGAAACATGGTTTATTCTGAACTCTTGAAATGGTGAATGGTTTAAGACATTTGTGTTTGGAACAATCAGTGTAATTATGAATTTATATGTTTGTTTCTTAATCAGCTAGGATTTATACGTACATGTTGGAGAAGTCTCGTGTTGTTATCCAACCTCTCAATCAGAGTAATTTTCATGTTTTTTACTTGATGATGGATGGATTGTCTGCTGAAGAAAAATACACCCTGTACCTCAGTAATTTATCTGCACACAGGTAGGAAAACAACTTCATATTTAGTATTAATAGTTTTCTTATATTAATGCCTCTCTGCTGTTGAGGTCCTTCTTCTAATACTTAAAACTTTTCTAACTTTTCAATGAGTTCTGAAATTATTTATTATGGAGTACTTGCTCATGAGTATTTAGTTCTGAAGTACATATATAGTCTCTTAACAAGGTAAGAGTTTTATGTCCATTTATATTGTTGCCTCAAAGGAGAAAGAAATGTATTAGCTCTTTTTCTGTCTTTTGTGGACTAGAGTCGGTCTATTGTTTTTGGGTTTTTTTCCCTGGTGAAAAGTTGTATCTTAAGGTAAAAACTGTTTGATTTAATTGTTATTTTCTTATGGCATATGTTGATTTTGATGAAATGTCACTAAATGTAACCTGATATCTCCATTTTCATTTTGATACTTACTTTATATCAAATTAGTAAGAAAAACAGAAACAAAAGTTTTGACTGCTTTGAACCCAAGGAAAGGATTCAACATCCAGCACCTAAAATTATGTTTTTCTTTATGACTCCACAGGAGCTGGTTGTCTTGGCTCCCATTTGCAATCAAAGGAGGTTGAGTCACCTGTATAGTGACTTATAAAAGTGGTTCAGTTCACCCAAAGCACAGAGCTGTGTGTGTCTTCATAAACTGTGCCGATCATGTTGCCTTTAATAGTGAGAGCTTAAATATAAAGAGCTGAATATAGACACCCAAATGTAGCATGTCTAAGGCTTAATGTACTCCAAATATTTGCTATAGGAGGAGGTCTTAGGGGTTTTTTTCAGTAATGTTGTGATTATCTCAGAATTTATTCATTCTGACTATTTTAGAATGAAAAAATATTCTTCACTTAGTTAATTTGCATTTTACTCTTCAGTCTTTCCTAAGTGTCACTGAAATCAGAGTAGACTATTTAGTATTAATGATCTTCTCTTAAACAGACTAACTTTAAAATGGGCATAGTGAGTAACTGTAAAAAGACAAATAATAATTAAAATTGTGTAAGAAGCATATTTTCAGGTTTATACATCTAGGCCTTTTTCCCATGGATTTTTTTCTTTTTTCAACTTTTTTATTTTCCACTCTCTTTAGTTACTTGAATAAAATAGCAGTTCTAGATACAGAACCTTTAAATAGAAAGACACCCACATTAATTTTTGCAGAAAAAGCTTCATTGATTATGATTTTTTTTGTTAGACAGAAGTCTTCTGACTACCACTGGTAATGTTTTAAGCTGTTACCATTTCTGTATTATACAGAATATCATACAACACTAACTCTGAAGTAACCTCAGGCTAAATTCCTTTGTTAAAAATGATTCTCTTCAAGGAAGGGGGAAGAGGTAAATTCTATATTTTAAATTGTTTGAGGACTTTGAAGACCAAAAGTATTCTAAGTTTTTGATGATTACTTTTATTCCTCTTCTAGCATAAGTTGTTTGGAAGCACACAGTTTTTTCAGAAAATGAAACAGTTTAAAGTCCCTTTGCAAGAAGCTCAGACAGGAAAGAACTTAATGTAAACCTGAATAATTAGATTCAATGAACAAAGCTTTATCTGATAAGATATCTGATAATCATCCAAAAAAACCCAAAATGGTATTTCTAAATAGATGTCTGAACATTACAGTACCAAAGCTTTAGAAGTAATATATAGCTGAATATTTGCATAAACCTGCTTTTATCAATAAAGCTTTGCTTTGCCTATGTACAGTAGATTGTATCTTAAATTATTGAGAGTGTTTGGGCCAATTTTTTTCTTACCTTAAACTCCTGAGTGCAGTACTTCAGTGAGCTAGATCTTTCTCAGCTGATAAAGTTAAATTAGGGATGAATTTCTACTGCATCAAACTCACTCATGAATCAGGAAGGCAGGATCTAGTCTCTTTTATAAGCTCATTATTTCTGGCTTAGTCAAATTTTGATGAGATTACATCATTCTGGTAACATCCATAAGTGATTTTTTAATGTTTTCTTTGAAAAAGTGTAATCTTGATTCAAATAGTTAAATTAACTAGATAACAGGCCTTTTAAAACCTTTGGCAGGTTGTTTCTGCCCAGTTGGTTTTTTTGTTAATTTTTCTGTTCCTCTTTACATTGTTTAATATTGTACTTTTATGTAGAAGATTCAACAATCTTATTAAATAATGGCTATTAAGATCACAAAGTACCCCTATTTTAAAATTGTTTTCTTAAGCTGTTTCAATGTAAGAAATAAGATGTAGCATGAGTTTTTCTATTCTTATTTTAGATAAAAGTACCTCAAAGATTTAAAGTAATTTTGTCAATATGATGCTGTGAAAGATGAGATTTAGATAGTGTTTTATGTAATATATAACCCTGGGCTGAGAGTTCATGTAAATTGCTTAAAGGGGAAATCCCTCCCTTTTGGAATCACTGAGAATCTCTGTAAGGCTGGAGTGTCGCCCCATCGTGTAGGGAAAATTGTTTGGCTCTAAATCTTTGCTGTTTGGTGCTCATTTGAGAGGGAGATGGAGCTCAGAAACTTAAATATGTAATTGCTGAGGCATCATGTGAGGACAAATAGCTGCACACTTTTCATTGAGCCTAGACACAAGTAGGATCTTAAAGTAGCAAGGGTTTGATCTACTTAGGGAAGGATCTGAATGAAAACATCTCCCATCGTATCAGCATGTGGATCATGATGGATAAAGACAGAAGAAATTGCTGAAAGGTAAGATCATTTTTCAAGACTGAGCAAGGGAAGCATGTCAGAAATGAAGAGAGAGTCTTTAAGGGCAAGTCAAAGCTTTTTGATTGACAGCTACTCCTGTGTGTTTATTATATTTGGAAACTGGTTTTTATCAGCAGATGGTTGATTAAAAAATTCCAAAATTTCTATTAATTTACTATGTTTCCAAGAACTCTTTATCTTGTTTCAAAGAACTTCTTTATCTTGATGATGATAATCATGTGTAATACAGAGACATTAACAATTTGAAATTATATTCTCAATTTGCCCTTGATTTGCTTGTTTTTTTTTTCTGGGTGCCGACTGCAGTCCATGACTGTAAGCAGTACTTTTGTGGTCTCTGAAGTTTAGCCTCACAAAAAAAGCATGTACTAGTTTTTCCAGCACGTTTAGTTTTGCCTCATAGTTACAGTAGGTGCTAACTTAGTGGCAAATTTTGCAACCAAGGTGAAACAGAGAACAGTGAGAGAAGTGACAGTGGTGATAGATTGATTTGTAAATGATCTTCAGTGCTAATGAAGGAAGGATAGGAAACAATAGCAATAGGAAAGAAAGTATTTTGGGAAAATGTTCCAGAAAATAAGTAGAAAGTCCTGCTTTTGTTGCTTTGGGCCAATTGCTTCATATTAGTATTTCTATTTCAAAGCTGTGCCATATAGAACAATGTAAGAATGTCATTGTGTAATATGTATATGTAAGATACTCAAACATACTGTTATTAAAAATCATGTCTTTACATGTGTATATTTATATTTAAAAATATAACTTAAGGCCACTAAACTGTAGAAAATTATTTCAGAAAAGATGGTAGTTTTGAGAGCTGTTCAACTTGATGTCACCATTTTCAGTTTAAACAAGGTTCCTATTTCTCCTAATTCATTGTATTGTAAAAATGAGTGATAACTTTGAGCTGAACTGTGGTCAGGGTACGCACTTCTTGTATTTGCATTATCAAACTGCTGTTCCCAGAGGTGTAAAACTTCCCTTTCTCCCCTAGAAAAAGGGTGTGCACTGCTCTGTGTGTTCTCTCTGTCTGTGATGTTTCTCACAGGCTTTAAAAAGCAGTAAAACTCTTCTGCTCCAACAGATGTAGATGGAACATCTATATCTTCATGTAACTGATGTACCTTCCTATTCAGTTTTTCAATGCAGGCGCCCTCTTCACTCTCAATAAGAAAACTTGAATTTAATATATAAAGGAGTAATTTCAGTAAAGTGATTGATTTTTTTGTTAAAGTCTGAACTGATCTGAATCTTGATCACAGATGAAATAATTTTCCATTCTAAATTATAAGGCTGATGTTCAAAAAAAAAAAAGGTTTAAAAATTAGTGTGGTAAACTGAATGAAATAGAAAAGATCCCAGTAAAGAAAGCCTTATGTATGATTTTTTTCGTGTTTCCAGTCATCATCTTTTCTAGCAAGCACTAATACAATATGTTAAAAATAATGATTATTCTAGTAACATCCATATTGATCCACACTCTTCCTTTCTTTTACATATAAGAGCCCAAGATGTGAATTTTCAAGACTGTGAGTAGCTTGTTGCCACAGATTTCCTCTTTTCAATTGACTCAGGTGGCAGCCTGTCTATTTTCTAACTCTTGTAGATATGGACCATGAAGGCTCTGCACATTTCCATGCCTTTTCTCTTCCTTTTCTTTACTTGTATCTTTGGATGCCTTTTTTTTTCCATCCCTTTAATTAGATTCTCATTTAAAGTGCAACAGAAAGAAATTATATCTTGAAACTACCAGTTTTTCGTACCTGTGCTATTTGTCTACAAACCTTGCTGTGTTAGTCTAACAGTAAATTCACAGAGAAAAGTAGGGGTTTGGGTTTTGTTTTTTGGTTGTGTTGGTTTGTTGTTGTTGCTTGGGGGTGTTTGTTTTATTTTGGAGCTTGTTTTTTTTTTTGTTTGGAGGGTTTTGTTTGTTTTGTTGATGGCTATTTGTTTTTGTTTGTGTGTGATTTTGGTTTTGTTATTTTTACATTTTCCCGACATAATTAGAAAAATAGGCATTTTAGGAATATCACAGTCCTCTGATATGTCCATGCTCTTTCCTTGTGTTCAAGCCTAATAGATATTTTTTTCTTGTGCATATTGACTTTTTTTAAACTCTCAATCTGGCCAAAAGTTCAGTTCACAGAGGTGATCACACAGGACCATTCTGATCCCTTTGCTTCGCAATTTGCTTGACGCTGATATCTGTGTATGATGACTAGAGAAAATCCAAGCATTAGACTTGAGTTACAAAATTAGGTGGATTTAAGAGTTGTGAATGAAAC